AGCAGGTTGAACATTTCTGTCAGGAATCCCTGGGTTTCACTCCCATTTCCACAGCCAGAGAAGACCTGATACTGGTGGAGTTGCATTACTACTGAGTCAGGTAGGCTCAGGAGGAGGGGTAACACTGCAGGTGACCTGTCCCTGGGACACAGAGCTCAGTTGTGCCCAGTCTGTGCTTGAGCACCAGGCATGGAGTCATGAGAAATGTCACTAAAAATCACATAGTCAGGCTGAAAGTTCATGGTCCTGGGAAGGACCACGGGTTGCTAGACACCCAGGGCTGCATCTGGCCCTGTGCATGGGCTGGACACCCTTGGTCTATATGATTATGAAACTCACTATGGGCATTTTTCCCCTGACAAAACCCAAGAAAATGTTTTAGGTTATGTTGATATTAATTTTTATGTAAATAAGTTATTTCAGATTGTTGCTTCTCATTTATTTTGGTAGTTCCATCATGTGGCATATTTATTTTTGCTTACATCTAAATTAAGGTGTGTAATCTGTTTTTAATGGATTTGGATCTAGAATTTAATTAGTCATAAAATCTACATTTGTAATTCACTTGTAATTATGTCGCCTGTAAAAGAGACATTACTTAGAATCTATAACAGCAGCTTACAATACTATCAATGAGTTTTATAGTGTATTTTAACTTTTTATGAAAAATTCTTTTATGATAAAAAAGGTACAACTTAGGATACTAAATTGTCTAATGCCTATTTTTCAACCATTTTGATATTGTTGCGCTGGGGCATGGAGAACAAGACAGGATATATGAATTTTAGGGAGAGACTCTCACACAGTCCAGAGCTCTAGGGAAAGCAGTCAACCCACAATTGATTGCAAATGGGTGAAGTTGTCCTAAAATCTACAGATGTTGCAGTGAATTCCCATCAAGAGCAGGAATAGTTTATTATTCGTAGAAATGTATTACAGAGGTCACAACTAGGAAATGACAGGTCCTAAAAATGTTGAAGGCCAGTCATCTATGTTTATCTGCACTACCAGTAGAATTAGTGCCTCTGTTATCATACATGAGCTAGTGTTTAAAGTTATATGAACTTCCCTTACAGTCACCAAGCAAAAGCCATAGAGTGGAACATTCTGTTCCATTATACTGGCAAGAATATTTTGCAACATGAACTCTGGTTTGCCAAGCTCCAAATAAAAGAATCAAATAATTAGGAATTCCACACAAATGAAAAGCCTAAGCAGCTTTCAAATGGCTCACATAGTACTCAGGAGGAAAGAAAACTCAAAGGTGAGAGGGAAGAAAAAGAAGTGTTATTGAAGGAAAATAGAGACAGGAAGACAGAGAATAAAGGAGAAATTGCATGAGAATGTCATGCCTGAAGGAGAGATGAAAAAGAATACAGGAATGCTGTGGGCATTATTAATCTATTGATCACACTTGATCATACTCGAATATCTTACATGTTTCCAAACTGCCAGAGTCAACAAAGAAGACAGTATAAATATTCTTAGAATTCTAACAGGGAAAATTAGTCATGCTCAAATGCAGTTGAAAATTTAGCAATTTAGATTCAAGCTTAACAAGTTCCTATGTTTGTAATATAGTAGTACATAATGGTTCTGAGGTTACAGCTGCTAAAATTTTGAGCAAGTGATTTTGCAAATAATGTTCAGAGTTTTAAAAAAAGTATATGTCCCAAACAGACCACAGACACCACACTAAATGTCAGTGTCTTCTGGTAAACAGCTGCAATGTTCCTTGCCCTTGCTTTACATGTTCATCAAGAGAGCAAAGACACCACAGACAGCTATAGTTAGTCAGCTGTTTGCATGCTCATAGGTATGGAAAAGACAGCTTAGGCTTAAATTTTTGTTCTGTCCATTGTGAGCTTGTCTTGGTGAAGTTTATTAACCTTTCTGCAACTCAGTCTTCTTAACTAAAAAGTTCTACTGTCTACATTTATAACATACTGACGGTGCTTGGAAGCCGGTAAAGATCACATACATCATTATTATCTTCACTGTTATTGCTGTTATGGCTTTTACATGAAAACTTTACCAACTTTTAGTATTAGGAAAGATACTTGATTCTGGTACAAAAGTCTACTGGCAAAGGACTGCAGAAGTAGTGCACAATTCTTCGAATGATATTGAAACGGATGTAATTTCTCTGTGATTTAAACATCTTAGTCCTTTTTTCTTGTTGTATGCCTACCTTCCAAGTGTAAGAGAACCCAGTACCATTAGTTTAAACCAGAAAAAATGAAAACAAATTTTAGAGTTCCCAAATCTTCATTGTGATTCTCTTTACTTTAGGAAATTAGGGGATATCTAGGATTTCTTTGGGGGTTCAGTTTGATATCTTCCTTCTGCCCTGTC